TCATAGAACAAACTTTAAGTTACATGTTTTAAGGTAATAATAACGATAACATAAACAGATAAAGAATATAAAAACAATATGGAAGAAACATATCTTCAAAATAGGTTAGAATATAAGGGTATACTTTCAAAGAAGAAAAAAGAAAAAAAAAACAGTACAGTACAGTGCGCTACTTTAAAAAATTAGGGCAGATTTTACAAAATAATTCTATTTCAAATGCAAACTTACCAGTATAAAGAAATGTATTTGTGTGCCCACTAACGACGATGTCCACACCCGTGACAAATTCGGCGACCTTCTTATCCACAGGAAACCCCGAATGTCCCAATGCGATGATTTTATCGATACCTTGTGACGTCAACTTGTCCGCCTCTGCCTGAACTGCAGCCACCTCTTCGGTGAATATCAAGGCACCTTAAGAAAATCCAAGTGAAATGTTCACAATATAAAGCCGATTTTTTTATTCTCTTTGTTCAATGAGTACAATATAAGCATATGTTCCAAGTGAAATGTTCACAATATAAAGCCGATTTTTTTATTCTCTTTGTTCAATGAGTACAATATAAGCATATGTTAGTCGCTCCCATGGCTAGATTTGGCAGATGGATGGGCTCTTTGATTCTGCAATCTCGATAAACTTCAAATGAATGGATTAAAATATGACGCCTTAAATACGCAGCCTAGTAAAGGCATTGTGTTATTGATAAAGCGTTCAGAATAAGTGTATTGCACGAGGCATCAAAATATACATCTTTCATGAAAGGAAAAAATAAGTAATTTATCCTCCGATATCTCGTCAAACAATTCACACAAGATTTGTCATTGATGAAGAGAAATATCGGGCTAATTCAAAAATCGCGTGTCAGTTACTTCAGAAATGCTTTCTGGTTAATCTCTTCATCAAATGTGCCCTAAATAACCAAACAGGTGTCGGTTAATCGATTTTTATTATACAAATTCTTACCAGGGCTTGAAATAGTGGGTGTGTCTGTTGTAGTATATCCTATCACCCCTATCTTTTCACCAGCAACAGTTAGCACTGTGGATTTGTTGAACAGTCCTCTCATTTCTGGAACATTAGCAGCGTTGATATTAGAGCTTACTACTGGGAAGGTGACGTTTTCAAGAAATTGCGCAAGACCATCAAGACCGTTGTCGAACTCGTGATTGCCTAATGTCTGAAGAGCAAAAAATAAAAACAAATAAAACAGGGAGGTCTACCATTTATCTAAGAGTGTAATTAATCATGTTAAGGCTATTGGATTTAATTCATTGCATCAATAATGGAGAGAGAAAGGGTGAGATAGAGAGATCGCACTTTACAAAGATTGTCTCAAATCAAACATTTGTTCTCATTTTTCCTTTTCTGTAACAACTGAGGCGGCTTTGTATACGTATAAGACTACGCGGGAAAAAAATGAGAAATCCAGCAAAGAATTTGCAATAAAATTTAAGATTATATTTTTTTCAAACAACAGTTTAAGTTATTCCCATTCCAATATTTAACTGCTTAAAAAGACGCCTTTATTAGGAAGAGGCTACAATAACAACAATCGTAGTTCTTAAAAAAGGTGTCTTGTTCTTCATTGGGATATTGTAGTAGAGATAACTTCGTTGTCAGAAGAAACTATGAAAATTATTTCAGGTAAGCTGTGTCGTCATAACTTGTTTTTAAACTTTCATATCAATTTCAATCTACAGCAAGAAAATTTTATTTATTCAAAAAATCCTAAGCGTGTTTAGCTGTCTGGCTTGTCTGATTTATAACCCGATTGTATCTACAGACGGCGTTAAACAATGCCAAAACATTAGGGTATACTTTTACTAGGCGTTGTAACTGGGCACGAAAGACCCATGATATGTGATTATCTATACTTTACAAATGCATTTTTCACATAAACATATCCATTTGCTACAAATTATATACTGTACTGATGCGTTTTCACATAAAAATATCCATTTGCCACAAATGATATAGTCTGTCGAGAATACATCATTGATTTATTTATCTGATAAAAAATAACGACAATATTATTTCAAACGAGATTGTATAGATTTTTTGTCCGAGATAAATAGAAAGATACATATGGAAAAGCCCAAAGACTCAAAATTTGATAAAAACAAAGTTTTCCCTGTCTTAATGTCCGAGTTCTTGAAATCAACCCCACCCGCAGGATGCGAATAGATGTAGACCTGGAATGGACTTTTTTCATTGTTCCAAATATTTTTAAACGCCATATGGCTGGATCCACCACACACACACGCGCGCGCGCGCTTACCTTCCCTCATTCTCTCTCTCTGTAGAATCGAATTTAAAATTTTTTAATGTCACAAAAGATACGTATGACGTGTAAGTGCATAACATATAACGAAAAGAGCCTAAATGAAAGGAATGTCAGACCCATTGTTGTCATTTTCGGCAATGCTGCAACACCCATACTACATAACGCCATGGACCCATAAGGGAACGTGAGGCTTGTTTCAATGGAAAAAATGGTAAGGTGGAAAGTTGATAATACTGTATCGGATAGAATGCAAGGTGAATAACATGATCTAATGTCACAGCTATTGTGTACTATACCTGGCGTGTATAATGTGACATGCAGTTTTCTATTAAAAGGGGTCAAGCATGATAAACACCGACTCACCTGCAATACCAGGGAATTAGGTGAAAGAAGATACATAGCATGTGAACATTTGAAAATTCGCAATAATTGCACAGTAGCACAGAAATATATGCCAACTGTCAATTTATAGATAATAATACTGTAATAATGGAGGAACATGGTGACAGCACCGCGACCCAAGGTAACGTCTGGCATGTCGCTGTTTACATGAAAAGATGTGTCTTTTGTGGACTAAAAGGCCTAAGGGACGGCAATGACTCGCCTTTTTTTTTTTTTTTTTTTTTTGCAAGATTCGCCTTATCTTTGACATCGAAGAAAAGAAGGTGCGTTAATCTTAAAAGCGCATTTCCGCATGCATGAGGACAGTTGGGATGGTTCCGCAGGTTGTAGCCGGACCCACCTTTTGTAAATGTACCCCGGTCGATCAGTGCTCTTTCTCTCTCTCTCTCTCTCCAAACACACGTACATGTACGAACGCTCATGCTAAAATTTACTTAAAAATTGTAGGCCTACCGATATGACACATGTATGATATGATATGAGGGAGTGACTACATGTGTCTCCAAATAGTGTCACCATATTATCTCATTTTGTATGTTCTCCGATAAGGAGTGTAAGATAAACAGTGTTTTAAAAATACACTGAAAAGCTCCGTGATACATGTAGAAAAGGTGACACAAAACGTGTACCGTGCGTCCAGTGCGTAGACGTGTGAAGGCTTGTGAACTCAATGAGTGTCAAGTCGCTGATAAGATGCTAGGTGTTTAAGAAACGACGGGTGATATAAAATAAAATTATCCTTATTGAGCCTATTTTCAGGAAGTAAAAAGAATATTCTAATACGCCTTCTAACTGAGCGACAATTAATCTCTCGGTAAATGCCTTTATCGGCCCTAAGATTATTCTTACCATTACATCGTATCCAAGTTCGTTCATAAAGTGTGCCGTCGCTTTTCCTTTGAACATAGAAAACCACAGCGTGCCCTGAGCCTGGTCTCCAGCGTCCAGCAAAATCACGTCAGGTTCTGCTTTACGGATCTCCTCGATTTTAGTGTATCTTCTTGCCACTCCCCCGAAACATTCCCCCGCTTCTGCCTCTGTTTCCGAGCACCTGCCTCCATACTTGTCAAATTGTTCAAACCGTGCATGAACATCGTTGGTGTGTAAAATTGTCAAATTAAACCCATAGCTTAGTGTTAAACACATGCTTATTACCACCAGCTCCTTCATAGCCCCTGCCATATATTCAATGGATGTACAGTAAAAGGTACAGTTTATTGTGCTACTAATGCTAAAAAGCCTAAAAATCCCAGTCAGGCTATCTATCTAACTTTGCTGCTCTATGACCGTGAAGCACGTCACCGTCTTATTTGTATCGTGTGTGCAAAGTAACAAAACAACTCTATGCCAATGTGTTTGTGGGGCATTCCCCTTGTGACCGCTGTGATAACATCACTAAAGACTCTGTTTGATATCTTAATAAAAAAGACGGGTTAAGTTTTGCACGGTATGACCAAGTAAAGTAAAAGACATTAATTCATTTTCTTTTTCACCCTTCCTCCTCTTCAAACCGCAAACGGTTATTAAACCTCTGGCAATCCTTTTATAGGCTTTATAACAGATGTTAAGTTCTGGGATATTGGTTTATGAGTCGCTAGGGTCATTTGCAGTTGAAAAAGGACTCAAACTAGGCCAACGTCTATTTCCTAGGAACCCGGAGCTACTGGACCTCGAAAGTTTTCACCTGCGATCTGTATGTGCAGAATGGACAGTAACATTTTTTATTTCTTCATTCTATACATTGTGTTTCAGCGTTGTAATGGAAAAAAAACTCTCTTGAATTTTAGAGAGTAACCATAATCGTTTTTTAATGTTTACATTCCGTAGGGAAAGTTACTGTGGGTCCTGCATATGTAAAATCCATGTGCTTATTGCATATTGTTAAACTTTCATTTTTCAAAATGAGCTTCTTTCTTTTTTTATTTCATAAAATGGATTTGAAAATTGCAGGTTTAAGTAGTGGGGGCCATTCCCCTTATTTCTTCCAGCTGATAGATATTTGGAGAGTTACCTCTCATCGATACTTCTATTCTCCAAAGAGCGGCCTAAAATAGTATACAAAATTTCACTGACGGCTTTTCAACATGTTTGTAACAGACTATAGGCCTACTAGCGCACCCTGTGGTCGGAGTTTAGTTCAGGACTGCGTGGTAGGGTAACATGTGTGCGTGTCCTGGTAACATTGTTAGCCAGGGCAACCTGTATTCAAATCTGTCAAAACTATATCCCATTTGGTTACATAATACATCGGCAGCGATACTGATTCCCTGCAGTGTGCTTCGCTCTCCCCTTGGTTCAAGGGTACCAGAGAAGATCAGCATTGGTCAGAATTGTGCCGGAAGTGTGACGTCAAATGGTGTTAGAAGCGAAGCTGAGTGGTCATTTTTAACCATGGACCTAACTAGATAGGTCCATGTTTTATCCTGGAGGGGAACGGCAGAGAAGACGTGTAGTCGGAGGAAAAAAAAATTTCTAAACAACATGGTAAGATAACTCTCTTTTTTATGCATTTTGGGCAGAGAATACTTTAGAAATAATAGATGCATGATATGAAAACGTGACACGGAACTTGAAGGTGCAAAATCGTGCTTATATGCGGTCAACTTGTTTTGAAATAAATGCTGCATCGACCGCCAGCGCGACAAAGAGCGTAAAGGGAAAATAATTCCCGGGAGTCTATAAATCATTGTCATGTGGAAATTTGTCATTGATATAATCTGATATGCCCATATCTAAGTATTTTTGGGTGTTTTATGGTATGGGCTGCAATTATAACGATGTTATAGAGGTCTTGAAGGACCTTGTGAAAACCAGGAAGTAGTTCGTAACTAACAACTGAAAACCGTACCGATCTCCGACTGCTGTGCAAAGCTGTATCTTTTTTTTCAATATTTTAACGAATTTTTATATCTTTATATGTCCATCTGACATGAAATTCCACACATATGAGCACACTAATACACCTTTTACACTGGGGTAGGCACAAATCAGTGACAAATGCCAAGACAAAGGTGACATTCTGACAGGCTCTTATCTGAGCTAAAAATCACAAGTACGCGACTGGCATTTAATGGCATCTTACAGCTAATTACCTGTCAAAATGGTATTGACTTGCACATTGATTGCTGTGCAGTAGCTCATTTGTTATTAATTGTTCAGTATTAATTTTGCTACTTTTAATTTTACAGAGTCTCAGGAACTGTTGTGTGCCTCTTTGCCCCAGTGTAGGCCCACTTTCCCAAGATGGAACATACATGTAGCTGTCCTACCATACATTTCCAGTAGATGAAAAACTGAAAAAGCAGTGGACGTAGGGATGTCATTTCAGGTATATATTTTTCAGGGTGGTGGAGGCGAGGGGCTATACTTAGTGACAGGAAAAAAGATATTCTGTCATTGAATGACACTGAATTGGGACAAAATTAGAGAGCTATAAAGGCAATCATAATCACCTCATCTCAACTAACACATTGAGGCTATCGGCCATTTTTACACTACTTGGAACGGTGAAATACTGCACAGTTTCTTAACTTCTACTAGAAAGAGAGTTGTATTTATCTTTTCATTCACAACTTCCACAAGGTACCTGTTTTTTATTATTATTGATTGACAATTGATCCGGATCAACACCAAAAACTAATAATCTGTTCCTTGCCCCACTTCTGACAGTTCCTGAAAATTTCATCTGTAAATTTGGTCATGTGACGGATATTACCAGAATCACAGGTAACACACAGATGATGTGATGTTTTCCAGAAATCCGCTACCAACTGACTGATCTCTACGTTTATTTCTCTGGCTGAGAGATCTGTAGTCTCCGAAGACATCAAGGACAATCCAGCTGGTTTGTATTGTCATCGGAGAATGTCGCACCGACTGTCCAAACTTTCTTTAATGACATTGCAAACTATTCATTATACATACTACACAAAATGTGAAGCATCCATCATGTGTGTCATTAGTGAATTAAATTAGCAATAGGTGAAATAAAAAAAGTTACTAAAATAGGTAGAAATGTATGTGATGTTGTAAGCCAAAGTGAGCCTTTTCATTAAAACGGATGTTGGAAGATGAGGGGATTACATCGTATACACTTGAATGAAAAAGGCATAAATGAGCGTTATATCCTTTGTTGCAAATTTTTAATTTTACTGGAAAAGTCCGCACCTTTCGTTTTTACACAAGTACATGTAGACCACACCAAAAACCGGTAACAGAATTGCGATTACTGAACCCGTTTTCGAGATCTTAAGCTTAGTTTCTACTTAATACTTTAACCTGCACTTTTACTACACGCAATGGAGATAAAGATGGTTGAATTTCAGTCGTGACCTTAAAGACCAGGGCCCGGTTGCACCAACCGGTCGTAAGTGAGGCGTAGCAGTTGCGCCGGCGTAAACCGGGCGCAAAATGCTACGCCCGAGAAAAGCCAGTTGCACCAAACTGGAGTAGTGTTTACGTCGGTCTTAACTTAGTCGTAAATTTACGCCTGCTGGTTAGGTGGAGTAAGTCGGTCGTAGCTCGTTTTCCACTATGGCTAGGCTGGCACAGAGAGAGTTTGATGACAATTATCGTAGTTAACGTAGATTATGTGGGTTGTTTTTTGTTTATTTCTTACACAAAACTTCCGTCTGTATAGCTTGGTTTTTAAAAAACTAATTTTATACACTTATATATATATATATATATATATATATATATATATAT